TTCTACTATCTTTTCATCCAAAAAATTCGCTCTTATTGAAATGCTTCATTGAGAACTGAATTTTGGCCCTCCAATCATTGCTTAGTTAATTAATTACGACCTCCGTATGTAACTTTTAAGTATAACCGGGTATCAATTTGCCTTTATAAAAGCAATTATTCTTATGTTAAGTTTTCACTTTTGCACAGTTTATGTAGATTGTACTGACTAAAATCTTTTATCAATGAAATATGCTAAGGACTGACACGATTTGAAAATGTGAACAAGAGGCTTTCTTCACTGTTAAATCACAGCAGTGGCCAATTTTGAGGATTTGCACAGTTTAGAATCTCTTGAATGAATTATAAACCAACGTAGACGTATTTTTTTCGTCTATCTTAATAGCTTGCAGAGGAATGCAACACTAGCATGCCTGAACCAAAGAATCTCTTGCGTGCTCGAATATTCTGGATCATGTTGAAGTGATGCCGATCGCCCAAAAAAGCAAAGGAGCCCACGAGTGCAGAGACCTCTTGACCAGACGATAATCAGCAACCCATCACACACACACACACACACACAGCTAATCCCGGAATGTTGCCATAGAGATTACAAGCATACGCTAAGGCTTATCACTCCAGCAATCCGCTGCAAGCTCACTGGTGGTTACTTTAAGCAATTTCACGTTCAGTTGATATGCTGTGAAGTTAATATTGACTCAGAAAAAGTGGATATTGTATTACACACTTCTATTGAGCACGCATAGAATCACGTAATTTCTTTCGCGTGCATTTTAAACTATCGTGCATTCAAATGGTAAAGCATCGTTGCTATTGGTGTACTCAGAGGTTCAAGATATTTTGTGACGTTATGTGACTGTTTCTCACAGAGCGATAGACTTAACTGCACGTGGTGCACCCTGGGCAACGCATACTCATGCGGCAAAAAAGTCTATAAGCCGACAGTTGACTTCTCACTTCTAACTACCATCACCCCACTGTATGTCATATTCGACTACTTCTACAGTACTCACCTCACCTTTTCTCTACTTTTGTGTCTGCCTCTTTTACATCTTATAAACCCTCTTCTGTCCCCCCCCCTCCCTTCTCGAATTCTTGCCACTTTGACGTTCCTTCCCTTCTGTGAAACCTGAAGTCAACAAAGGGCTATGTACAGCTATCAAGCCGTCTGCCATTCGATATAAATAAACAATTATTTTTTCAATAGTCTTTAATATGATAGCAATTTAGAGAAAAGTATATTCTCTAATGAAACAGGTAAATTATTGAGACCACCGAATTGATTGTTTTTCAATTTTAAATCAGCACTCTTCTTCGTTATTATTTAAAGCCTATACTTATTAGGGAAATGCTTAGGAATTTATTCAGAACATGCACTAATAAATTCCCCCCTAGGGCCCAATTATTAATCTAATTTATGCTATAGACAAACAAATTTAAGGTCAGTACTTTTTACGATCATGTTTTAAAGGAGCAGAAGGCACGTGATTCACGGATTTTGCATTCGGGTTGGCTGTAGAGAATTTGCCAATTTCCTGGCAAATATATGTGTTTTGGAATAAACTTTTCCTTGAGTTTCACTAAATCAGATTTTTAATTCCTGACTCGTTAAAGCTTACGCTTAGAGTGACACCACATGCAAAATCTCTTACTCCTGCCAACCGGATGAGGAGGATTTAAATATTGAAAATTCAATTGATGCGAACTATTTCTCCTGGCGGCTACATTTTACTTCAAGAATAAGGCATTTCAACTCTTGATATCAAGCAGAAAGTGTCTTAAGAAAAGTATAACTCGGCGTGTGAACCCGATTTACGCCTCTCAACTTGAATTTTACAAACAAAGCTGTATAATTCCTGTCAATAGTATATCTCTAATCAAAATCATTGTTTCAATTGAATAAATGTACCGCTTAGAAAGGTATTTCATAAGGCATTTGATACATGCAGTACAAAAGGAAGTGATCAAGATTCCATGCCAAAAACTGACATTCACAGCCAACCTTGAGTCGAGGAAAAGAAGATTTAAACGAGATACCGCTCACTATGTGAGTACATAGTACATCAAATAGCGGGCGTTTTGATAGTTATCATTAGTCCTTTAGCTGACTTCGGACTTCAGAGGGGGGGGGTGGGGAAACAGAAGGATGATTAAGTAATGTAAAAGAGACTGACAGACACAAAGGTAGAGAGAATGGTAAGATGAGTACTGTGAAAGTGGTTGCTATGACATACAATGGGGCCATGGTAGTCGGAATTCAGAAGTCAAATGCCAGTTTGATGGACTTTATGCTGTATGAGTATACGTTGTCCAAGGTGCACCACATGGAGATAGGTCTATCGTTCACCCTGGAGTTTGTTTGTCATTGTGTTAACAGGTAGATAAATGTTTTCATTTGTTTGAATTGTGAATGAAGTTGATTTAACTTAATGGATGGTAATCTGGCATTTTACAGTGCCAACATTGTGACAACAAAAATCTGTCCTTTCAAAAGATATGTTTTATATAATAAAATCTCAGCTCATGTCATTCACACGCTTTCAAATTGTAGAACTCTTGCAATCTCGATCAAACTTATGCAATCAGGTTAAATAAATCGATTCAAAATATATCGAAAATTTTTACTTACACCTATCAGAAATAATAACCTTTCTAACCCTTCTTTGTATTATTAATTGTAATTTAGAATTAAGCGGCTTTAAGACGAGGATCTAGCCACTAAAAATTCCATGATCAGCCGTGGAATATCAAGCTCGTTATTTCTGCTACCGTTCAAAATTCCTCATAGCCCAATCGGTTTAAAATTTTGCCACGGAAATGCATATGAGTGGGAATAACGTGACTCCCAGCAAACGAATGCAATATTGATATTGGAGCCCCAAACAATTTTCCCAATCTAGCTTCTCAATGTTCCTCTGCAAAGTATTCATCGCACATGAAATGGGCATAGAATTCGTGGTGTCTACTTTTTCATCTCCACAGCCCAAAGAGTTAATTGCTTCCTAGAACAACCGTCATCTAGTTTCCCTTAAGAAAAGCCTGATTTTACAGAAGCAAACAGAGTTTGCGGAGACATTTATTCCTAGTGAATGTTAATGCAAGACGTAGTCGCCTAAGCAGATGTCAGCTCTGACGATACGATGTTGGTTGACACACTACGGGAGTGAGACTGTGTCAAGGAAGTGTTGAGAGAATCTCATTTCTTATGCAATTGAAGCTAAATAAATTGATATATTGCTTTAAAAGATAAAGAAGGGGAAAATACTAGTGAATGAAAATAAAATTATTAAATTTCAATAATAATTTGAAACTCATTTTGACTTTCTCTCTAAGGCTCGAATTCTCCTACCCCTTTCCACTTCCAGGTGCTGAATTTAAATGGTGAAGTTGCAGAGGATACGTGTAAAATTTCCCTGAAATATGTGGTCAGAAATTGAGTGAAATTCATTTCTCATAAAAGCCTAAAATAACAATAAAAAATTCCACCTAATTTGACTCATTTCCAACCTTTTACCTTATTGCTAGTAAATATTGTATGATAAATCGATTTAATTAAAGAATTTTCATTATCTAAACGAGAATTTAGTTCATAACATCATTATAACTTAGTAAGTTAATAAAAGTCACTACCACGCATTGAAATTTCTTTATAAGGAAAAAGCTGAAATTGATTTTCACGCACATCAGGTAAATAGAAAAAATTATGAAACTGAAAGAAATCAATTATTGACTGTTTCAGTAACTAAATCTAGATGGAATTATCATATACAAACTTGATGGGGAATTTAGTTTCAAAAAATTAAAGTCCATTTTAGTATAGACACTTACTAAATTTATACTCATCAGTGCAGTGAAACCCTTTTCTCCTTTTGAGGAAAGATTTGGAAGAGAGATTACCATTCTTAAGGAACTTCGTTTCTTAAATAACAAATATTAATAGCTTATAATTTTAAATAAATGAATCAAAATACATTTACTCTCAATATTGAATTTTGACTTATGATTTTTGAAAAAAAATTGTGCATTAAACATTGCCATAATATCTGAATCTTTCACATCTATTGATCATTATTCTGTCCCTCCTCTCAACTTTTTGTCACTCTGATATTCCTCATCCCCTCTGTGAAGCCCGAAGTCAGCTAAATGACAAATGATAACCATCAAAACGCCAGCCATTACAAATAAATAAATAAATTCTATCGAATCGTTTAAAAGGCCATTGTTGAGGCGGATATCAATCTCAGCACATGGAACAAGTTGCAGACGATTTCTGGTAAATTAGACTCGATAGTATCAAAATGTTAGGAGTGGTTTATAGACCTGTCGTTCACCAGACGCGTAGGGACGATGCCAGAATCAATAAGAGTTGAATTGCATGCGAGATTTGACATGCTCACATAATTTAGAACTAATTTTTTGTGGCCTCAGGTGATCAATATCTTTGGGGATACGGTTTGCTGTTAGAAGCGCAATTCCAAAGACACGTACAACCAGAGCTAAAGAAAAAGTTTTAACAGAAATTTGAGAAATATTTGTTGTAGAAATTGGCTCGAGAATGCTAAGCGTCAGTTGTTCAAAAGCAGTCCATGTTCTAGCAGAAGAATTCTCAAATGTTGTTTAAGGTAAAGAAGTAAGTAATGTCGATAAATTGCTTATTGTCATAAGAAACCAACAATGAGGACAATAATTGGTAACAAATCGAGTAAAAATGCATATTTTCACTAGTTATTACGCATTCATTAAAAAGCTTAAAAATAATGGTTAAAGGATTCGCTAATCGCAACTTAAGGAACGGTAATCTGATAAAAAAGAAGATAATAATAATAAAGTAATTTGAATGAACATTATTCTGAATTTAATAGGAAATAATTGCAGATGCGAATCAATAGCTTGTAATTAATTCAGTAGACAAGATACTTTTTTGCCTGATATTTTATTTATAAATCAAAATTGCAAGTCAAATTGCATTTATGATTTCTATTTATTTACGCTGACTTAGAGTTACAAAATGCCTTTCTTGCGTTCCAATCTAATTCGTTTGCGGGCCATATAGGCTCTGTAAAGGGCTGTAATAAAAGTGGCGGATTCGATCATTTCAAAATGTTCTTTTATTGCCTGTTGTCTGGCTTCCTCCTCCTTTCGTCTGATTTCCATAACTTCATCGTACCTCACCTTCAGGGGCTGAATTAAATAGATAAATAAATAAATATTAATAAGTCTACTTAATATTTGTTAGTAGTCGAGATTTACAAACCTCGAATTTTGCGTTTAAAATGTCGTAATCTTTGACAAGTTCATCGAATTCTTTTTTGTTTTCGTCATATTTGCTTTGTAGTTTGAAAAGCTGTTCGTCCATTTTCCTTATCGTTGAATATAACTGATCCTCCAGCATCCATTTTCGACGACGAATCATTAATTCCTGCTTCTGAACCGGTGCTATTTCATCTTCATAACGCTTCTTAGCAGCTGCAACTTCTTCAAGCATTATACTTACTGTCTCTATTAAAAAAATATGCGTATGTTCAAAAAATAACCGATTATTTGATTATACCTTAGCTATTAAATCGCATTTTTATGTCTCCAAACTAGAAAGATTCCTCACTTACTTTTGTAAGGAAACATAAAGAAATGAATTTATCCTGAAATATGCTTTTAACTCCTAGGCTCTCTGACTCATATGTCTAGTCTGTCCCTATAATGAGCCGATTTTGTTAAAAGTGTGACCACTCAATGACTCATACAGAATGAACAGTTGGTACTAAATTGACTTCATCTGTCAAACCCCCCTCCCCCTATTGATATTTCCCCCTTTTATTCCAACTTTTCCTGTTTTTTTCTCCTTTTCATTCCTTTTCAATTGTCCCATACATATTGATCAACTCCACTTTTGGTCTTCTTGCTCTGAAATGCAATTTTTCCCCTCAAACTTTGCAAAATCAAATGCAGCTTGGAGACCACATCCAGCTCAAAGTGGACTGGCTTTAGCAAAATCCGCTCACCCAAATTAAAGTGGCCATTATTTTGAAATTAAATTGGCAAGAAAAAATAGAGCAAATATATTTAAATTTAATTATTACTCTTGTGCTGTTCTCGAGCCTCTTTGTATTCCTTGAGAAATCCTTCTCTCATTTCATTGATTTTTGCCGTCATTTCCTCCTCTCTTGACAGGAGACAAGAGTTTATGCGTTCAATCTCCTGAATCTTGGTTTCCAACTGACAATGATAAGGTCAAAACAGGGCAATTATTGCATTGGACGCATTCTCTTTTTGATATTTTAATCTAACTATCCCAACAGCGTTCACAGAGAAAATCTCATTAGCCAAAGTAGGACGAACAATAAAATTAATCTAAATTTTATAACGAATTGAGTTCTTGGTCCTGACCCTTTTAGATCACGTAATAAGAAGCTCTGTGGAGAAGTAAAAAGTACCTTGAAAGAACCCTACGATTTTTTTTGGCATTATAAGAAACCCTAGTTTAATCACTCCTATCCTAATTAGTTTTGGTGTAATCACGCATAAATGTTATAATTCGCATAACAGATAGAGACTTGGCCAAGGAACTGTAGGGAATATGAAGGGCAGATGGAGGTGACTATATTGCCATCATGACGACAGTCCATTCAAGTAGATTGGAGGTTCCATCATCTCCTGGTCTTGTTAATAACCACTATTCTTACATGTTACATGTATTATATACGTGTATTTCACTTATCGATGCTCATTATAATATGATCCACTGTTGTTAATCTATCCCGGCGGTCCTAGATTGAGTTGGGGGGGGGGGGGGGGGGGGGGGGGGGGGGGGGG